TGAGCTCATCCATCAGGGCATCCAAAATAGGTGACAGCATTAATCAACAACTGTCTGGGCACTGATGGAAGACTTGAAGAACAGAGTATGGGAAGAAAGCAAAGATAACATGATTTTTTATTCTCCCCTTCATCCTCCTACCCATACAAGATAGACTTTATAACCTAGGCAGTTGCAAAGTAGCAGAGCCTGAGAAAAGTTATATCAATGCACATATGGGAAACCTGACTTCACACATGAATTCCCTGCTAAAGGCATTTCCATTCCAAGGCATAACAAAATGTCATTGTGGACAAAAAATAATTTTTCATGAATAGAAGATGTACGACTTGTTAGTTAATGAAACAGTCCCAGTCCTTGAGGCTCAGAAACTGGAACAACCAGTACGGCCCAGACAAGTGGGGTTATATGACAATATTTAGTTGTCCCTATTACTCTAGTAAGCCAGTGTGGTATAGGATACAACTGTAAGCACAGTAGATTTTGGCATCACAGATGAGTTCAGCAAATTACCCAAAAAAATAGGCTTTGCCCATTCAGCCTCTTGTTCATGTTGAAATATTGATGGTTTGCACTTCCACCCAGGACCCATCACAGACTGCTCAGGCATTTTATAATTCATCATGGCCAGTATCAGGAAACCTGCCATTTTATTACACTCACATTGTATTTAAAAGTCCTGGTAATAGATTAGCTACAGATGCACAATCCACATATTCATTAGATCCATGATAACATCATCTTTGACTTCCCAAAATGCAAAGGTTATAGATTGCAAGGAGTCCATTCTGTTCATTCAGCAAGTGCACTCTCCAACTTAGCCTGTTGAGTATATGGATAATTCTGATATGTTTGCGGGGCACAATGGCTCAGTGGTTAAAGACGTTGAGCTTGTCAGCTGGAAAGTTGACATCCCAGGTTTGAAAGCCAAGCACCGTTCCTGCCCCAGCTGCTGCCCACCTAGTAGTTTGAAAGCATGCAAATGCAAGTAGATAAATAGGTACCACTTCAGTGGGAAGGTAACAACATTTGCTGCACCTTGTCTTTGAACAATGCTGGCTCCTTCAGCCTAGAAACGGAGATGAACACAACGCTGCCCTTAGAGTCAGATACAACTGCACAGGGAATCCTTTATCTTGATGTGCTTGCAAAGGAAGAATCACAGAACCATCCTGTCAGTTTTATGACTGAAAAATCAATCTTATTGATTCACACAAAATGTCACTACCTAATGTCAAATACAATTTGGCCTGTCTAAAGACATTGAATGATAAGAACTTATAGAAAAGTTTGAACTCCCTTATGCCAGTATTCCTCTTATTTTTCAAGAATACTCTTATATATAGTCCATGAGTACCAGCTCCTGAATTCTGTAACTATTAGGGATTACTACCTTCAGACAATTATTTCTGAACTTTTAGAGCAGTTGGAGAAAGCACCCATTTACCAAATTGGAGTGTACAATTTGAAGGGAGTGGTAGTGCAATAAAAAGATTTTGATTGTAAATATTGGAAGAAAGAATAAAAAATCTACATCTTTTGACCTCCAGGTGGCAAAAGTAACTTCTAAAGATTCACTTTCATTTTTCATTATTTTCTGGACCATACTTTGATTATCTATTTAAACAGTTTGCTTTTCTCTAAAGCTCCCGACGTTCATGCCAATCAAGTTCAAACAGTTCTTCAATACTTTCCTGTCAGCCCCACTGGGGACCAGACCATGAAATCAACTTCACCGGAAGGCTAAAAGTATTTTTATTGATATTGGCTGTATTAACCGAAACGTACAAATCTGATTGTGCTGTTTCTCCTCTTCCTCCTGCTGGTTCAGTGGAGACGTCTACCTAAGCTGCTTCTGAAGGTTATCTGGCTATTCTGGACTTAAAAAGTACTTCAGCTGTGAGTGTAATAAGTGAGTGTAATAATGTGAGCTCCTTTTGCCTCGATAAAAGCTTCTACATCTCCCTATCAGGATGATCTTCTCTATCTCTATACCTCATGACTACAGCCTCTAGGCTAATTTACAGCCTCTAGGCTAATTTACAGCCTCTAGGCTAACTGTATTGTTGATCACTCTGTGTTGAACTATTTGGAATACAGTCATGTGCAGATTTGGAAGGAGTTTGACCATTTTTACTATAGAATTTGTCCTAATTTTGCTATTCTGACCACACAATTGAAAAGAATTCCAATGAAATTCTGAAGCCCCACAAGCCCTTTTTCAGTTCAGACAAGCATTCATTTCTTGGTTTACCTTTCATTGTACAAATCCCATTCTAGTACATTCTTTGAAAACTTATATTAATTATATTAATTATATATTATATTAACTTATATTATATTAGTGCAACCTAAAATGACATTTGCCCTTTTTGCGACCATATTACACTTTTGGCCATCTTAATTCAAATCGATTGCTAATACATTTATCTTCCATTCTTGCAGCAGAGTCTGGTTGATATCATTAAACAGCAAATGCCACCTTTGTGAATACTGAGTTACTAAATGCTATAATAGATTAGCTTATAAATAAATAAAACCATATCTGCAGGCACGTATGCTATGATTTCCTTTATTCCTTTACTTTTTATCAAAGCAGTCGGATTTTGAACCAATCATGTTAGATAAAATAACTGCATTTTACCTATCTTTTATTTTTGTTTTTGTTTTTTTCTTTGTGTTCAATTGTGTCTATTTCTGAGACTACCTGGACAAATACCTGCAATTTTCTTGGCAGTTTTTCAGAATTGGACTGTGGATATCAGTGGCTTTTTTCTTCTTTTTGTACACATGGTTTTTTTTCCCCTTTTTGTTATTAGTGCTGGATGTTTGTTAATCTTTTTTTAATTTCTTTTTTATTTGTTTTGTATTTTATCTTTGATGATAAAAGAATAAATGTTAAAAAAGAACTAGCAGCTGCAATTTCTCATTTTTGTGTATCTAATGACAATAATAAGATTGTATCATAGTATAGATTATTCATGGTCTTTGCCACCCTCCAGTGATAATTCTGTCTGATTTGTTGCAATGTGTAGTCTGTTTCTTCAGCTACAGTATGCTCCTATTTTCAAGATTATTCATTCCAGTTTCAGTTTCTGCTCAAATTGCAAGAACTACAAGGATATTCCATTAGAGAACCACAAAAATTAATCTTATTCTGCCCTCCTGTGGTCAATCCTGAAATCATGATGCCTCAGACATGCTGATAAATCCTGCCAATCAATACCAGAAGGAAATTAAGCTTTGTTGTTTTATAAACATATATCATATATAAAATTGGATAAATATAAAACTATTATAGTGCTTTAGCACAACTCCTGTATGGGAACAACAAGCAAATCAAAATGTTCTTAGTTTTAAAAAGCAGTTCATATGGATTGGAAATATGGTTTCCTCACATGATTAGCTCCACTGATTTTATCCAGTCTTTGTCAGTTATTAATATACATTTTTTAAATAAACATGTTCTTTTCCCCTTCAAAGTAACTTGAATAATGATGCCATTATAACATTTGTTTTTGTTCAGAATTACAGGCAACCTGTTTCTATGGTTTTCGCCAAAATTTTCATTTTCATAATTTTTTTTCAGACAGACTTGAAGTCACACTATTATTTTTTATGAATTTTTTTTACAAAATTAAGACAAGCTATTTTCTAGGTTTGTAAGCTATAAGCCAGCCAAAAACAGTAGATTTGCACAACTCCAAAGGTCTCAAAAATACTTAACCACATTTACCATCTGTTACATCTTAAGGTGGCTGGGTTAAATATGTAGTAATGGATAAAACTAATGAATGTGGGAACTTGATATGCATTTTCCACATGCTGGTCTAATATGTTATTACTGTATTATTCTATTAACAAAGTTTCCTTCCTCCTCCAAACATAGACACAACTAATCTTTTCCTGGCCAACTTATTTTTTTTCTGCCTTTAAGACAGACTTGACTCCTGGCAACTGTGTGGAGAAGTCCCTTTAATTTTCTTAGCAACGTTTTTGGAAATAGCTTGTGATTGCCTTCATTTTAGGACTGAGAGAGCGCCATTGCCCCAAAATCAGCAGCTGGCTTCATGGCTAGGCTAAGAGCTAATATTCTCTTAGTTTCTAGACAAATGCTTTTAGCCATCAAACTAGTTCTCACAACTAAATAAACCTAGATATCTAAGAACAGAATTTTCCTTTTCTTCTACTGAACATCTCGTAGCATAGGAATTTGTGAGAACAAAATGAAATAAGTGCTGTGATGAAATAAGTGCTGTGATATAAGCTCTGCTCCTGGCATGTGAGTGATGCCACTGTACATATTTGTATGAGGGGAGAAATTTGCAATGTGACATTATGATCTTTGTTTCATCATTTTGATGCAACCACCAGATTCTGTGGACACCTCTGCTCTATTTTCTCATGATCAATATGTGGTGCTTTGCATAGACAAAGACAGCTTTCTCATGCTTCCTTTTTAGTGTCTTTCAGATATTTGCATTTCTATGAATTATTTGCCATGACTTCCATATTTATGATCAAGCAAGCAATGTATACTGTGCATCTCATTCATTGGTATCCTGAATTGAATCAGACAAATTTGAATAGATTTAACCAGTGTCTAAGTCAGTCCATGTCTGACACTTACTAAAGCTTGTTTAGTAATTCACAAATTTAAAAAAAAAACCTTGCAAAAATTGTACACAAAAGTGCTTTTTAAAGAGGCAATTCAGCTCTGATTCTTAGACAATTGTACACATTTCTTCCTGAGCTCTCTAGATAAGAAAAGTCCTGTGTGGTCTGGGATGAGGAGTGGAATATTTTGATTACCAGGTCAGGCTTTTAATTAATTAGTGGGCTTAGGGGATCTCTTTATTTACTCTCAATCTCCATGCCTAATTTGAAGTCCATTATTTTTTTGTGTTTGCAATCTTCTTTTCTAACAGAGTAACATTACAACTTAGAAACAGCTTTTGGAAAGTTTCCAGTGGCTGCATCCACGGTTTTTAGCAGCTGAATATAGCCCTGAGTTTCAGACTGTACTAATTTATGTTACATAATATAAAATTGAAAAAAAAGAATTAAGCTTAAACTTTATTGATTTATGGACAAAATGTATAATTGTCTTCCACACAAAATATTAATTAATTGGTATTATAGACAGAACAAGTGTGGACTCTATTCAACAGACTAAGGACAACATTTTTCTTCTCATTCAGAGTCTTAGCCTGGAGGCCAGCTCATCTGACGTCCCCCAAGGACATGGAGATGCACATGATAGACTGACTGAGCACCATCTGGACCTTCATTCACAACCATTCGGTATCCTCTAGTCAGGCCTAATTGAGCTGCACATTTCTTTCCCACAATGATTAAATGGCCAAGAAGCTGAAAAAGAAAAGAAAAGCACATCACTTTAAGACCCCCCCAAAAAAAGTCCAAAGAATTGCCAAACCAAACTCAAATTCACTATCAAGTGTACGTATTCAGTATAGTTTTGGCATCAGTAACTATTTACCTCATCAAAAGTGGGGAACTTACAATATAAAAGGGTCAAAGCAGCTTGCATATTCAGCCATTTCTCAAGTGTTCCTTTCAGCAGTTTTACTTATTATTATACTGAAGATTAGCTCAGAAAAATAATAGCAAAAAAGGGGGAGGGGTGAATCCCAGTTCTTCCTTCTTTTAACCTGGCATAAAAATGCTTAGAGAAGGTGCAACCTATGCTCTCAGGGGAGCATTCCCTTATACTCTATTGGAGGTTTTATAACAACTGTTTAAAAACCACTCAAAGAGAAACTTGGGGAAAGTAAAATGCTATTAAGGATCTGTTATTAGCCATTGCTGCTACTGTATAGGAACTGCTTACCTTAAGAATATATTGAAAATGTAATAATACATAACTGTGATTGTACTATAAATATTATTTACGAAGATTGTAAATATGTATAACTAAATATAACATGCAATGCAAATGAACCTTGTTTAGAATATAGTATGCAATCAAAATAAACCTTGTGTAGAAACTTAAAGTGGTAGCACTGGTCTTCACAGATAGCTACTATACAAGGCAATGAAGTTTGACTATGATGTCCAGCTACAATTTCTACAAGTATAAGAACTGTCCAGATTTTACTATATTCCAATATATTCAGACACTATGCTGAAATTGATTAATTTTCTTGTAGAAAGAATTGCTATTCAAGTTTTGGGTTCTCATGAACAATTTAAATATCTCAGAAACCCATAGATTTAAAAATGAAAAAAAAAAAAAGCCTGACTTCTCCAGAAAAATCATCTAGCTTTGACAATTTACTTCTCCTCATGCTATTAATAATAGATTCTTGCTCCCACACCACCCCTAGGGACTAAGAAAATAGCTCTTTTTGTTGACAAACATGGAACTAATCTGGGACAGTTTTTTATTCTTTTCAAATAAATCCATTACATTTGTTAAAGCTTTGGAAAAAAAAACTTTTGAAAACTGAAAGGTAGTTTAATATTACATGTATAATACAATCACATTAAATCAAAGGAGATCATTGTAGATTTTAGAAAGAGCCAGCATAATTATACTCCACACTTATCAAAACTGCAGCTGTAGTGGTAGTCAACAGTATTAAGTATCTGGGAGTGCAGAAAACTAACAATATGAAATGTTTTCTCCACACATCATTCTTAGTGATGCATAGTGACCAGTGTTTGCATGTCCTGCATCAGAGAGCACATCTTTCTCTTCTGACCTAGCCACTTTTTATAGAGGCATGATTGAGAGATATTTAACAAACTGCATCACTTTTTGTTTTCGTGGTAGCAGCACCTCCGATAGAAAATCCATACAGAGAGTGGTAAGGACATCTAAAATTACAGGAAGCCCACTTCCAAACTAGACTGTGTTGTTTCTCTGGGTCATATGTGTGTGTGTATGTGGCTATATGCAGAATTTTTGTCATGTTTATGTAGTGTATATTGGAAGTGGTTATCCTTTGAGAGCTTTATGCAACAAAATCTCATTTTAATGTATGCTGATTAGTGTACATTTAAAATGACAATAGTTACCATTCTAAAAAACAACTAATCATTGAACCAACTCTGAGCTTTTGCTGTTTAGTAAACATACCAAAACTTTACTTATCCTTCTTCAGATCTCTCAAATTTTGATCCAAGTTAACCTCTTATTATTGGAAAGCTGGCTGCTATTTAATAGAAAGTCTTTTTGCAATACTTACATCTGCGTCAGTATCTTCCACTTGAGATATCTGAGCAATATGCTTCTTGGGGATCACTAGGAAATGAGTTGGAGCTTGTGGAGAAATATCATGAAACGCAAGGCACTGAATAGAAAAAGACACCATTTTAGTCATAGCTTTTATAAAATGAATAGAAAATTTTAAGTAAGCATGTGAACACAAAAACAAGTTCATAACTGGAATAATTTGTATGAAATATTACCCTACACTGGCCTGCCATCTTCATAACACAATAGTATTTTAAAATACAATTAATAATTTAAGCAAAACTTGATTAGGAGTTATGGACATGAAGACTATGAGAAATGGACTGTGAGATGCATTTGTTGAATTGTAATCTCAACTTTTTAAAAATATAGTTCTACTGGGATCCTTAAAAATATTCATTCTGACTGAGAATGAATACACTGCTTCTAATCATAAACTTAAAACTGTGAATAGAGATTGTAGTCAAAATGGAGCCATAAAGAGGGAAGTATCAGAAAGTCTTGAGAAGTCCTAAGGAAATCCTCTCCAGCCTGGGACTCTTCCTTTGTAGTTAGGGTTAGGAGCTGCAAACCAGGTTTTATTTTATTTGATCCCTGGAATCAGAGGGAAGTGTGAAAATCGGGTCCTGGATTTGATTGTAATAAATAGTTCTTTATTTGCATCTAACCCTGGCAAGAATATGTTGTAGCATATCTTTTTTCTGTATGTCCTCATGGTGTCTCCTTCATGTTGTCCTCAGCACAGCAGTGAAACAACTTTGCATTGTCTTTAAATATACATGTTTTCTCCCTTGGTCAGACCCAGTCCAAGAGTACCCTAAAGGTGCACAAAATCTGTACCAGTCATTACTTTGGAGAACAGTCAAATCATCATTTCTATTGCACCTTTCCTCCTGAAATGCAAAGAAGCACATAGCATTCCCTGTTCTAGTTATTATTCATTTGGGATGAAACGAAAATATCATGAGGACATAGGAGAAAAAAATATTCCTGCGATGGTTAGTTGTATGTAAAATTATACAAACACCAGGCAGGCCCAAGGGTTGAAATGTACCTCGGTAATTGAGAACACGCTGCAATGGTTAGGATTATGCTAAAGAATTTTAAGAAATTTAATCTTAAAGATAGAAAACGTTTAAGATTCAGGGATGGACGTTAGTTGCAGGTAACATATCCTCCTTGCTCGCTTTTTTTGGGGGGTGGAGGGGTGGGGGGAAGAGGGGAAAAAGAGGCACGAAAAATAGAGCCTCCAGGTGCAAAGGCAGTCTACCTCGCTTTGCTTGGCACTCTACCCACAAGTTACGAGATCGCAATCCCGAGGCAACGCGGCCACGGAGCATGGCTCGAAGTCATGCGAACGCCGGTCCAGCGTGGCATTGCAGCCAAAAAAGGCAAATAGACTTGGCTAATAAGACTTATGCCCGCAGCCATGCAAGTTCGGACTCGCCCCCGTTTCCCCACCTTCTCGTCCTCGAAGATGATCTTGGCGGGGATCTCTTTACGGATGATTTTTCCGAATATGGTGTCCCCGCCCGGCTGAGCAACCTGAGCCCTGCAAACCTCATCAGCCATCTCTGCACGAGAAGCGGACACCCGCCTCTCCGTCGGGCCTTCTGGAGCGCGGCCCCACCCCCTCGAATTGACCAATAGCGAGCGTAGGATGGCAAACAAGCGGCAAGACTGCCCTATCAAAGCAATATGATGATAGAACTACCCGTCTTAGCGGTCGATTCCCTTGCCGGTCATTTTATTCCGCCTTCTCGTCTTTTCCCGAGGAATAGCGAAGGGCAGAGGCGCAATGGTATGATGCGGCAATAAAGTTTTTTTTTAAAAAAAACACCTGCTGGGAAAAATATATTGAATGAGTTCCGCGTTCCTCATAAATCATTAACAGGCTTTATAAATGTGGCATTTTCCTGTCAGTCTCTGTAGTAAACAATTTTATTATTTTAATAATGTTTCTCTATGCTACTATTTCCGTGACATGTGAATTTGAATAAAAGGAAAACATTACAATTTTTCTCCGTTAACATAATTTTTTGTGCCGGGCACAGTGTTTCTGAACCTCTAGCAGTTTTAAAATGTGTGGACTTCAACTCCCAAAATACCCCAGCAGTCCGCTTCCAACTGCTGGCTTGGCTGGGGAATTCTGGGATTTGAAGTCCCTACATCTTAAAAGTTGCTGAGGTGGTCAAAATAAGCTTAGCACAGGGCTCCCCAAACTTGGCAACTTTCAGACGTGTGGACTTCAACTCCCAGAATTCTGGGAGTTGAAGTCCACACGTCTTAAAGTTGCTAAGTTTGGAGGCTTCTGGTTAGCAGAACGCTGGTGCTTGTGATTCCTGCAAATATCCCCTTTTACTCCTCTCCTAAGGCTACTCTATAGATATAGCTCTCGAGTCATGTTTTAATCTCCTCCCATTTTGGATGCAGGACACCCACTGATTTGTCGTTGTCGTGGAGACAATATTCTCATAGAACCAATAACGTGCACGGATGGGCGTGGCTTTGTTCCTCCCGGAAACCTCTGTCATAGGGATTCCTCCACAAAGCGGAGATTCCAGCGATGCGAAGGGCAGAGGTTAGTTGATGGTCATGTGTACCTTCGCAATCAAGATACTGTTTTGGGGCGAGAGAGGGTCGTTGTTTGTTTAAGATTTTGTTGTTGGGCTGAGAACATTATTTGAGCCTTATAAGAATGTATTATAGTTAGAGGGCATGCAAAATATGGTACACGTGAATGTGTAATGTAGTCTCCCTTTTTCTTGACTTTCTTACTTCGCTGCCTGACCACATTGTTACTATGTTTATTTATTCGTATCAGAAGCATCACAATTAAAATAGGCATACTATGTGACCTACAATTCAAAAGATAAAATACGAGATTAAAATATGTTCAAAATAAAACAGATCTTGCCCAGAAACTAGCAACATTGTGCTATGATTTTCAAAATATGCACACAATATATGAATCCTTGAAAGTTTCGTTGAATTTTTTTACCTGCTGGATAATCTGGTCCTGAAAATGAGGTTGTGATGAGACCAGTCATTATGCTGTGATGTTCAAATGACAGTAAGTGGTGTGTGTTTTTTTTCATTTAGAATTGCTTTCTTACAATTTACTTTGGATGTACTGTATTAGACTACAATTTCCCATCATCCAAAATGCTGTAGAGCCCTGTTGTATACTACTCTACATCTGGGTTCACAGGACACACTAAGCCAGAATCTAATACACTATGTTACAGTTCAGTATAAAGTGTTAACCCTAAATTTCTCACAAGCCACTCTTAATTCGTTTTATCCTCTTCAAATGGCATGTGTGTCTTCAGGTCAGGGTTGATTCCTGGCAACTGCCTGGAGTCCCTGTAATTTTCTTGGCAATATTTAAATCGATGGTTTGTCACTGTCTCCCTTAGGCTGAGAGAGAGTGACTGGCCCAATGTCACCAGTTGGTTTAATACTTGAGTTCAACTAGAATTCAGTTTCCTGGTTTCTAGCCTAATGGCTAAACCACTGTGCCAAACTGGTTCTCATTTAAATGGGTACATTTAAATGGGTTTCAATTAGATGGAATGTCTATTGCTTCACTCCCATAAAAGCTGCTATCGCCACTTTGGTTTCATCTCCAAAACTCCTGTATTCTTAATAGTTATAGGACAATGGGCGGATTCTGAAAGACCTCCTGTATGGAGAATTAGTGCAGGGAAATCACCCTAGAGGGAGACCACAGGATATCTGCAAGAGAGATCTAAAGGCCATGGGAATGGACATTAACGGCTGGGAAACCTTGACCTCTGATCGTTCAGCTTGGAGGCAAAAGATGCAGCATGGCCTTCTCCAATTCGAAGAGACACTCGTTCAGCAGGCTGAGGCAAAAAGGCCATCCCAGAACCAGCGAAATCTGGGAGCTGGACAGGGGACAGACTGTATCTGTCCTCAGTGTGGAAGGGATTGCCACTCTCGAATTGGCCTTTTTAGCCACACTGGTTGCTGTTTTAGGACCTCTTTTCAGAACAAGATACCATAGTCTTTTGAGACTGAAGGGTGCCAATATAGGACAAGCAGAAATACAGCAGGTGATGCCTCTTTTGAAATGGAAAGATACATCTATGTAATTCCTGTTAATTGTACATGTTTTAAAAATTTTAAGTTTTGTACAAAAAGGTGTTAATATGTATTTTTACTGTGGTGTTTACTCTGTTTTTCTTTGATATCTCAGTTCATAAGGATATTTTTATTTCTTCCTATAAAATAGTATTCATTCCAATTAAGTATTCTGAGTGGCATTCATGTATTTGGGTCTTTCTGCCAGATCACTTAGTATTTTGTGGAAATTTTTCTCATTCACTAGTCAAATTAAAGAAGCTAGTATCCTGGCTTACCTGTTAGAAAATGTTTATATATTTCTTTTCTCTCTGTCAAAATTATGAAACAGCAACTTTTCTAAAAATTCCTCTTTCACCTATTTCTCTATAAGCTAAAAACTGGGATTTGCAAAAATAAGTTTTATAAGAATTCTTACTGCTCATAATGTGATTTCTCTATATTAAAAACAATACCAGTACTGATATCTCTTTCTTTATTTTAATTAAGCCAGTAGTGTAACCGCTTATTTAAGCAATTACACTACTGGCTTAATTTAAGTATTAAATTTTCCTTAGTTTGATTTGTTTCGTGTTTTATCTTAAAAGATACAAAGCCTAAATGTATCTACAATTCTTACATTATAACCTCAAAAAAGTTTTCTTCAGTCAGAAGAGAGGCAAAGTCTCCCTGGCTAACCTCAAACTGGCATACATGCATTTAGATCAAATATATATAAAAAGAAAAAGATAACTGACCAGTTTTACCACCGAGAAGCTGTTGGAGAAAGGGTTGAGCACTAGACCTTTCTAAACTTTAAAAGTTGCAGCAGAGCTGCTAGAACAAGAATGTAGTCTTTTTCTTCCCTATAACCTCAAAGGGGACTGAAAAAAACCCCAGACTTATGCAGGTATTAATTACACAGTGTTTATCTTCAAATAATACCTTTCTCTCACAGTTCTAGCATCAAAAGATTAGATAACATTGTCATCTCTCTCAAATTGTATTTATTTGTATGTTGCCCAACTCAAATATGTGGCAGTTCTGAAACTTAAAACAGAAAAACATTACAAAAAATATCCAAAATCATAACAAGAACACCTTAAATATAATATAAAAGAGTAAAAACTATGAAAAACCATAAAAAGATATAACCTGCAAGCATTCAGCGTGCTAACACTATAACCATCTGGCAGGCTCGACACTGCCACTACCAGATCCTAGGTCAAGATGGCAAAGCCAAATCTTCAGACCCTTCCAGAAGACTAATAAGGTCAAGGCTAATCTGGCCTTTTAACACTAAAAACTAACATTCTTAAATTTTAAAGTATTACTGTGTCATACATATATCTGGAATATCTTGAAATGTCTTCTTAAGAACTTTTCTGTCATTTCTAGAGGCTTGCCTATCTAAGAGTCAGTCAAGGAATGTATTGTTATAATACCTATCATTATTGTTTTTTATGCTGAGTTTCACATACCAGTTTCACATATCAGGAGCACATACCAGTATCTATGTTAGAGGGAGGAATGTGGGTGGTTTGTATATCAGCATTTACAGTAACTGCTATTTCTAGGAATCATTTTCATTTCATTCCCCTATGACCAAATGCTTTTTCTTGGAGAATTTCTATATTTTGTTTCCCTGATATTCTTACTTCAAATTTAACTGGTGCTTTCTTTCTAACATAAGAATGTAAAACTTCTAACATTCTGTTGTATTTACAGGTCTTGAAAGTTTTCAAGATTTTACATAGGACAAGGCAAACTGTGTTCAAAGATGACACCAGAAGCTTAGACGGTAAGAATCAGAGGTGCTATTCAACTGGTTTGCATCTATTCAGGCAAACCAGTAGCGGTTATTTGGCATGGGTCGCCGAACCAGTGGCAATCCCTGGCTGGCCACGCCCCCAACCCGGTCGCCCGGTCGCTCACTTGGCAATTGCTCTCCTAGCTTTCCATTCCCCACGTCCTCTTTCTCCCCAGGGAAAAGGAAGAAAGGCATGGATGCTGCAAGTATCACTTTCCCCTTGTGAAATAAAGTGTCGGGAGTGAGAAAGAGTGCAGTCTGACAGAGGGGGTGGGTGTTTAATCGAGCCTTGGAGCACTTTTGCAACATAAAAGAAATGCATTTTGGAAGCAGGTCTTTTAAAAACTTCTCCAAGGATTTCTCATGGATGCTGCAAGTATCGCTTTCCCCTTGTGAGTTAAAGTGCTGGAGAGAGAAGGATTGCGGTCTGACAGAGGGCGTGGGAGAATCCACTCAAGCCTTGGAGAAATTTAAAGGAACTGCTTCCAAAATGCTTGTCTGTTAAGTGCTCTGTGTGTGTGTGTTTGTGTGTGTGTGTGTGTATGAGAAAGAAAGAAAGAAAGAAAGAAAGAAAGAAAGAAAGAAAGAAAGAAAGAAAGAAAGAAAGAAAAAGGTAGAGAAAGAAAGAAAAAAATAGAAAGAGAGAGAGATAAAACTCTGTGCTATTATTTTTAATTGTTCCATTATTTATCATGTGTTAATATTTTACGCTGTCCCTACAGCTAGAGTGATTTTTCTGCTTTTCTTTTGCCCAGGGCTACCACATATTTTTCAGGGTTTACATGCATTCAATGTCAATAGTCCAGAGCATAAAATACACATGTGTTTAACAAGAGTTGAAAGGGACCTTGGAGATCTTCTAGTCCAACCCCCAGCTCAGGCAAGAAAACTGAGGATGCCAAACTCTGAGTAGAGATCCTGGAAAAGGTGTCAGAATAACAGGATAACACTTAGAAGGGACCTTGGGGGGAAACCCTATACCATTTCAGAGAAATGGCTGTCCAGTCTTTTGTTAAAAACTTCCAGTGTTGGAGCACCCAGAACTTCTGGTGGCAAGCAATTCCACTGGTTAATTGTTTTCACTGTCAGGAAGTTTCTCCTTACTTTTAGGTTGCTTCTCTCTGTTCAGTTTCCATCCTTCTGGTGCTTTGGAAAATACATTGTCCCCCTTTCTTTGTGGCAGCCCCTTAAAAGCCTATCACACTCTTGGGCAAAGCATGTGAGCCATTTCCTCCTGTCAGTGGTCCATGAAAGTACATCTATAGTATGCAGATAATAAAGTCAAAAAAGGTGAACAATATTTTTACAGAACTATAGATAAGTTGAGGCTGGGTGACAAGAGATAGCTGGGAGGGGAGGGGCCAGATGAGGCACCCCTTGATGTGAGTGACATTGAGTTGGCCACGCCCACCCAGTCACATGACCACCGAGCACACCCACACAGTCACATGACCAAGCCACGCCCACCCAGTCACATGATTACCAAGCCACGGCCACCAAATAAGCCACGCCCACAGAACCGGTAGTAAAAAAATTTGAATTCCACCACTGGTAAGAATTCTTTTTTTTTTTAACTAAAGGAACAAATGCTCAATCCTTTCCCCAGTAGAGGGCTACTTAAAACATAGTTTTTAAAAACATAGTTTTAAGGTATGATTATTAATTCTAGCATGTAGTTGTATTTGAGCCTCTATGTTTGTTTGTTTTTTGAAAGATATACATGCTGTATATGCATTGAGTCCCTTGTTATTTCATTATAAAATCTTGCCAGTGTTGAATTGTAGTTGTAATTGTTGCTTCACTATTCAGTCTTTCTTTCATGTTTTATCTTAAAAGATACAAAGCCTAAATGTATCTACAATTCTTACATTATAACCTCAAAAAAGTTTTCTTCAGTCAGAAGAGAGGCAAAGTCTCCCTGGCTAACCTTAAACTGGCATACATGCATTTAGATCAAATATATATAAAAAGAAAAAGATGACTGACCAGTTTCACCACCGAGAAGCTGTTGGAGAAAGGGTTGAGCACTAGATCTTTCTAAACTTTAAAAGAAAGTTGCAGCAGAGCTGCTGGAACAAGAATGTAATCTTTTTCTTCCCTATAACCTCAAAGGGGACTGAAAAAAACCCCAGACTTATGCAGGTAATTCCATATTAAGAAGTGAGAAAAGCAAAGTTGCTCACTTTTTTCATTCATATGTATAAATCTAGATGAAAATGTGTTTTCGTCACTCAACATATTTATATGTTCTAAACCTTGATTTCTCATCCTTGCTATGGATACATTAAAATTTCCCCTGAAAATTTAAAATGATGTAAAACTCTCATCAAGGGCCTATGCTTCATGAGTTTAATATCCTATTTTGCTCTAGATTCGAGGTACAACATTATAAAGCTATTTTATTTTCTAAATAAAGGAGAGTATGCACTGATGCATTGGGATAAATTAGTTGAATACAAATAAGAAAAAAAAGATCAACATGAATGAAAATTTATTACAGTAAAAAGATCGAAGGACTAGCTTAATAAAAAAGAAAACAACACATGGGAAACGTAGTTAACATGATAAAATCTTTGTACAAGAAGTAGTCTCTGGAATCTGCATATATGAAAACTGATTAAGAACTATGTGGGTTAAATATGAGGTCACACAATAACAGGGTGAATTAGCTTTACTATTCATGTCCTATGAGCTTATATCCCACAGCCCTTGTCAAACAAAAAGCTGAAATAAGCCCCATTAAAAATAGGTGATCTGGAGAGAGGCTAATTTGGTTAATTTTATTGGTTATAATTAAACTAGGAACTAAATGGGTCGTCAAGATTAGAAAGTAATCCTGAAATGGAATAGAACACAGCTAGCATAGCTGCAGCACAGGATGCCCTGGCTTCCAATAGGTTTTATCCTGTCTCAAAAAGAACTATGGCATTTTGTATAGCTGGGTAATATTATCTATCTCAACAAATGGACTGTTTAGATGAGCACAAATAAACAGCAGCAAAGAACCACAGGAAACCCAACCAAAGAACCACCAAGACTACTCCCATCAACACTGACAGGACAAGCCACTAGAATATAAAATGAGAGCAAACTTAGCACTGATAATGTTATCTAGTTTGGGCAATAAAACATCTTTGAGAAAACAACCAAGTTTAGAGGGCACCAGGGACCCCCTTATTCTGTTCACGTTGTGCCACATTTGAAGAATAGGAGCTTAGGTACATATAAATATCTCCTTGCTGGAGCCTTATCTTATCCAAGATAATAATTATGCTACTTTTTGATATATCAAGTAAGCTTCCTTTAAATACTATTAACTGTTTTATGTTCAACTTCCTCAAAGTGTTGCAAAGGAATAGTTAGTTTTTAAATATAACATGCATTTGGGACTTTTGGTGACATTTTGTAATTTTGTACATTGCAACTTAACTGTTGGGGAAACAGACTACATCTTTTAAAATATCTTCTGATTATCATATAAGGTTCTGTTAACATACTGTAGAAATAGTTTTTATAGTATCTATTGTATATGTAACAAAACTGAATAAATACATTTTTAAATGCCTGTCCTCTTTTTTTTAATCTAGCTGCAAGACTTAAGATAAATGAAGAATTCAAAAATAATAAAAATGAGACTTCTCCTGAAAAAATAGCCGAGGTATTTGCATAGAAATTGATTTCTGCTATTGAATACAATCCTGCGTTGCAGGTTATGTTAGCTTAACTATTACAAAATATAACTATATATTAACTATACTGTACAGATTAGAAACAGAACGAGGATAGAGATTACTAGCAAACAATTGTCCCTGTCTCTGTACAATCACGTTCTTAATGGTTTTCTAAAAGATAAATTATACAGTGAAACTGACAAAATACAAGTGCAATCTAAATATTTATATTGAAAACCACAGCTTGAAAGTCAGTGGCTAACACTGTTTTATAGTGGTCGTTTTTCAGCTTCATATTCAAAAGGAAAGATAGTGCAAACCAATAATCAAAGATGAATTAGGAACAAGCAGTTGTTGAGCAGAGATAACAGTTACTCTATTTTTCTTCTTAGAATTCTATCCTTTGCAACATTTTTATTGTAGCTTGAAATAGAGAGAATAGTCCGGAGCCTCCTAACCTTTAAAGCTAATACAGATAGTCCTTATTTAAAGCTAATACAGGTAGTCCTTATATAGCAACTATGCAAGACTGACAGTTGTTGTTAAGCAAATTGGTTGCTAAATAGGAAATCAAATGACTTAGATTGTGCTTACATTTCCTGCCGCTTGGAATGGTCACTGCAATGCTGTAATAATTAGCAAGAAGGAGATTAATATTTATATTTACATTCATTGGAGAAGAAGGAATTATAAAAGATTATGCAGACACACAATGGAGAATATACACTGCTCAAAAAAATAAAGGGAACACTTAACACAATGTAACTCCAAGTCAATCACACTTCTGTGAAATCAAACTGTCCACTTAGGTAGCAATACTGATTGAGAATCAATTTCACATGGTGTTGTGCAAATTGAATAGACAACAGGTGGAAAGCATAGGCAGTTAGCAAGAAATCCCCAATAAAGGAGTGGTTCTGCAGGTGGTGACCACGGACCACTTCTTAGTTCCTATGCTTTCTGGCTGATGGTTTGGTCACTTTTGAATGCTGGCGGTGCTTTCACTTTAGTGGTAGCATGAGATGGAGTCTACAACCCACACAAGTGATTCGGGTAGTGCAGCTCATCCAGGATGGCACATCAATGCGAGCTGTGGCAAGAAGGTTTGCTGTGTCTGTCAGCATAGTGTCCAGAGCATGGAAGTGCTACCAGGAGACAGGCCAGTACATCAGGAGATGTGGAGGAGACTGTAGGAGGGCAACAACCCAGCATCAGGACCGCTACCTCCACCTTTGTGCAAGGAGGGACAGGAGGAGCACTGCCAGAGCCCTGCAAAATGACCTCCAGTGGGCCACAAATGTGCATGTGACTGCTCAAACAGTCAGAAACAGATTCCATGAGGGTGGTATGAGGGCCCGACGTCCACAGGTGGGGTTTGTGCTTGCAGCCCAACCCCGTGCAGGATGCTTGGCACTTGCCAGAGAACACCAAGATTGGCAAATTCGCCACTGGCACCCTGTGCTCTTCACAGATGAAAGCAGGTTCACACTGAGCACATGTGACAGACGTGACAGGTCTGGAGATGCCATGGAGAATGTTCTGCTGCCTGCAGTATCCTCCAGCATGACCAGTTTGGCAGTGGGTCAGTAATGGTGTGGGGTGGCATTTCTTTAGGGGGGCGCACAGCCCTCCATGTGCTCGCCAGAGGTAGCCTGACTGCCATTAGGTACCGAGATGAGATCCTCAGACCCCTTGTGAGACCCCTTGTGCGGTTGGCCCTGGGTTCTTCCTAATGCAAGACAATGCTAGACCTCATGTGGCTGGAGTGTGTCAGCAGTTCCTGCAAGGCGAAGGCATTGATGCTATGGACTGGCCCGCCCGTTCCCCAGGCCTGAATCCAATTGAGCACATCTGGGACATCATGTCTCGCTCCATCCACCAACGCCACGTTGCACCACAGACTGTCCAGGAGTTGGGGGATGCTTTAGTCCAGGTGTGGGAGGAGATCCTTCAGGAGACCATCCACCACCTCATCAGGAGCATGCCCAGGCGTTGTAGGGAGGTCACACACACCACTGAGCCTCATTTTGACTTGTTTTAAGTACATTACATCAAAGTTGGATCAGCCTGTAGTGTTTTTTTCCACTTTCATTTTGAGTGTAACTCCAAATCCAGACCTCCATGGGTTGCTAAATTTGATTTCCATTGATAATCTTTGTGTGATTTTGTTGTCAGCACATTCAACTATGTAATGACCAAAGTATTTAAAAAGAATATTTCATTCATTCAGATCTAGGATGTCTTATTTTTGTGTTCCCTTTATTTTTTTTGAGCAGTGTACATTGGAAGGAAAGTGGTGGCACTGGCACCCCAATCATGTTTGGGCTGGGAGCCATACACAAATAACCTGGTTTATTCTCCCTATGTGCCTGCTTAGTCCCTTGTAACCCCTTCCTCTCCAATCTCACCGCTGTACAAGCTACATGTCAGGCAAAGGATAAAGCTTATTGAGCATAATAGCAATCACATGACTGAGGGATGCTGAACAAGGCAATTGGTAAGTGAGGACTACTTGTAGGTACTTTTGAATTTGGAATATATGCTATGAACATTCCCACAACATGACTGCTCTGGTAGTGTGGTCATACAATCTACTACAAAAGGCAACTGATTAGATGATCCCTGCTACCCTTTCTTGCCTCTCCCCAAACTTTCCAGTTTGCACACTCACTTGCAAAAATTTCTATCTTTAGGGTGAATATAATTCCAAAAGAGCATTGAACAAGAATCCCCATCCCTTTTGTTTTTAAAGAATGCTCCTTGGAGGGCACCACAAGAAGTTCCTGCTGGCACTTGGAGGAACCATATAGGGAGAGCTAAACCTTAATGTTTTAGGATTTTGTAGGAGCTAGCTAGTTTCTAATGATACCGGTTTCTTATTTCTTATTAAAGCATGGCTAAATAGATCTAGATGCTTCTTTTGTCTGACCATTAATCAATCAAGATCCTGAAGCAGAGAGTTAAATTTCTTACAATTTTGTTGCCTTTGTATTTAACAGAATATGTTACTATCCCACCCCTCTGGTATAACTCTTATTTTAAACTTTTTTAAGGCATGAGCTAATAAGTATTATATTATGTCACCTGTGCCGAACTAGCGGATAAGCTCTTTTTGTTGTCCCTTTTCAGAAACATTCTCCCATTCATTGAATTCTTTTCCTAAAAAGCCACCATTTATAAATGAATGTTCACCTGACAGGTGAAAAGAGGGAGATTAGACAGAATAGCACTTCTGAAGAATCTGTTTAAAAGAATAATAATTTGCCTGTAAAACAGGAAAGTTCTTTTATATGCATGCAGGATATGTGTATGGACAACTTTAAATGAACCAATCTTTGACATAGAGTCTTTTCGCAGAAATTGGTATAGTAGATTCCATTATTCTGTAATTTTCTCTCTTAAAATTGGAACAGCTCTAATTCCTTGAATTATTGATGTTTAGTTTCTTTTGCCTGAAGAATTTGAACATGAATTTGCACTCAAATTCAGCAAGTGTTCATGTGTTCCACAATATTAAACCCTCAGCTGTAAAAAAATGAACTTCTGAAGCTTTCACAAAATCTTAACATTGAAAACTGATAGCTAAAATAAACATATGCATATTTTTTCATGGGTTACTATTCTTTTAATCAGTAACTCAGATATTTATACAAGCCGATTCATGCAGATAATTGTTCAGATATGAAGGAATAGACTGTCAAATTATTCATGAACCTGGTGAAATGATAAAATTATAACTGATCTGAAACCAAAATAAACAATCTGTGCATCAAGTATTATATTTCTGTTTTATGTTTTAATAAAGTGTGAAACCTTTTTAGTGTTATCCAGTTGATAGCTCTCTGACTACTTCTTTGAAGCAGGGTGATAGCATTGTAAGGATTTCTAGTAATAGGTGCAGTATGAATTAATGAAAGATGCCAAACATGAAAATTTAATATTAATATTAGAAGTATAAAAATGTTGTTTCAAAGAGGAAAAAATATCATTAAACAAACTAATAGTTCCAGGCATTCTTTAGTTATTACAAAGGAAATATATTGAAAAGTTCATTTTTGCTCTGTTCTGCAAGGAAATGCATGGTTTTTTTTATTAAATCTTCACCCCATGATGAATATGTCTTGCTAGTTCTGGAAAAAAAATCCATATTCTATTAAAGCATATGTAATATAAATATGTTAATGTCAAAACAAAGATAAGCATCCTTTGAAAATCTCAGTCACAATGAATTTATAATAACATTTCATGGGTGAAAAATATATTGGTGAATAATTATTAATTCTGTTTCCCAATTCCACCCAGCTTATAAAATTAGCTTCAGATGTGGAAGTTATACTTAGAACATGTGTCCTACAAGGTGTTTATGTGGATGCCAACAAAATAAGTAAGTAAAGATTCTCTGCCTTGCAACTTTTATTAATCAGTTTAATAGTGAGTACTACATATTCAAAGCTAAAGCTTGGCACAGTGTATTTGATTTATTAGGTATAAATAAATACCAGGTAGGTGACAGAGGGGGTACATGTGATAATTACATAATATCTTTCAGAATTTAATTGGATTTAATTAATATATTAAACAGAAATTCAATAGATTTCTATATATTCTGTTTATAGCAGGTTGATATTCATTTCAAGTAATTCTTTAATGAATAGTGGAATATTGACGAAATATCAGTATAGTTATGAAAGCCTTATAGTTAGCTATCAAATTTGTTCTGTTTTCCAAATTCCAACTGAATCTGTTTTAATAGAAAGTTTCTACCTTGAATAATTAAATATCTTAACAAATGTTTCTATTAACGTATTTTTGCAATATTGTCTCTAAGAGTTGATTAATTAATGTATACCTGAAAAGCCCCCATTCAATAAAACGTATGTGTTTTCTCTATTTTTCTATCCTATACTTGCTGTGGAATATGAGATCTTTGCAACTTAAAATATAAAATGTTATCACTAATTCAAACGGGTTAAACCACTTTTAATCCCAAATATGTACAGATTCAGTTTGCATCAAAACCCTAACTAGAATTTCAGATATGAAGGTACCATAATTTTCTGTTGGCATTTTTATCTCTTTCTTAATGATCTATAGCATGGACATTTGCCTTTTTTAAAGCTGCTATACAGTGCATGAACATCTTTATTTATCCACTTCATTATTGACACCAAGGCCAATATGTCAACCTCTCAGTCACCTCTTAGGCTTCCATGGCTGAGACTGCATACAAACTGAGATTTCCATAGTTTAGTTTGATACCTTAACCACCATGCCACATTTGTTCCATTATACTAAATATTCATTGTGGTGTTTTTTTTTTAAACTGAAGAATAAGAAGTAATTGAGCATTGTATTAGCTACAGTACTCACAAGTGTTTGTGGCTCAGTAATAAACCCTTTTTTTGTGGCAGGAAGTCACAGATTCAGTCTCTGCACATTTAAGGGAGATAAGGATGATCTCAGTTAGAGCTCAGCTCTTGATTATCACATAACATATTTATACAATAGCATAGAAATGGTCTGCCTGGATTTATTTAGTTATTTAGCTTCTTAGACTGCCCTACAGCTGTGGTTTTCATGGCTACTGTCCCATCTAAGAACCAAGAACCAAGTATGGCCCAATTTTGCTTAATTTCGCAGCCCAGGCAGATGCTAAAATAATTCCTGCCTAAACGTAGAAATTTACCACCAATTGAAACAAATAATACTTGGCTGGGTGAATGAATGGTTTATCACAGTACAGAGTCTTTTGCAATGACCTGACTACGGCAAACAGATAAAGAATTTTGAATGGTTTTGCAAAAGGCAGAATACTTAAATATATTGTATGTATTGGTAATTAGTTTATAATTTTACAAATTCCCATTTGTCAAAAATACTGCTTCTAATTCTACAATCTCCATTACTTCTAAAGTACTAGAAGTACAGTGTTGCCTTTGTTTAAACAATAGTGCAGAAAATCTAATAATGTCTTTTTCTTCCAGAGCTTTTACCGAGAAATGATGTGCTGCGAGACAATGCCCCATACTGTGACACACCGAAGCAAAACACATGAATATAATAAAAATTTTGATTAATTAACAATGTTGTGTAATTTCTGTTAAAATAAAATCGCTTTTCTATAATACTAACCTAAATAAAATTTTCAACATGAAAAATGTCAACTATTTGTATTCAAATGAAAAGCAAAAAAAAATATGTTGTTTCAGGAAATGTATTCAAATTTATTTTCTGGTTTAAAAGAATGTCTTTACTATTACAAATTAGTATAAGACTCTTATAACTTTTAATTCTCCAATGTGTCAGGGTTTCAAATAATAGATCCATCACAATGACATAAAGACACAATGGATATGATTCATTCTTCCTATGTACTGCAAGTTTATATTTTTCTATCAGTCCCCAAATATGATTAACCTATTTTAGAATTAAAAAGAAAATGTTTTCAAATCTTAAAACATAATTCTAAAGGTTCCAGAAAACAAGGTACAGAGTTTCATACAATTAATGTAAATTATAAATTCTTTAAATTTTCAACGAATATTATGCAGTATACATATTATTTTGATTAAATTTAAGGGCATCATTTTAAATCTTTACACTGGAGGAAAGAAGTGTTAGTTTATAGTGGTATAATTCCAGTCATTCCACTCAGAAGTAATTCACATTGAATTCATTGGGCTTAATCCTAGATATGCAGATTGCAGTTTTAAACTTTGATGCTACCTACAATTTATATTATTTATATGCAAATAGACATCAAGTGACTTACACTTAACTTTTCCTAAATTTTAGTAAAGTTAATTATAGGATTGACTTCTGTGTTGAAATTGTGCTATATGTAAGTTGTTTCCTCTTTGTGTTTTCAGTATAATTTTGAACCTGAGTTTTAGCTTGTATATTGAATATTTTTGGATGAGTTATAGAAATAGCTTGTTCCCTTGGCTTTAACACTGTTACAGGAAAACAGTAATGGACTAAAGGTTTAACAGGACTTTTACAGTATGATTTTTTTGCTTTTTAAAAAAAATACAAATAGTGGAGTATTGAATGGGAATACTCCCATTCATGTTGATTTAAATATAGCAAAAGGGCTAAAGAAAATCCTCATGGAAAGAAATTGAGAGATTATTACAACGTTTTCTATGAAGAACTTTCTTCATTACTGATCTAGCATGGTGGCTTTCATTCTAAAATTATTGAAATTATGTATATTGTATTTGTAGAATAATTCTCATTAATTACATCAAATTGACTTCATTTCCTCCATTTGCAACCACAGAGTTACTAACTTACATCCCGATTCAGACCATGTCTTTCTTCAACACTGATTTAAATGATTCTCATAGCATTATCCAGCCATTACTACTGCAAAGTGATATACTGTAGTATTACTGTTGTTTTAGTCCAATCTTATCAAATGAAATTATTAGTGGGGATAGCTAGTAATTTCAAATGCCATTTCTCTATGGTAAAGATACAGCAGGCATTTTAATACCTACTTGGCTTGTAGATCAATTTAGTTTATAATTAATATTTAGCAGCTTACTAGTAAATTTGTACCACTCCATTTGTTCTTGTGATTTTATTTATTTTTATTTCCATTCCTAAAGAAGGTTAGAGAATATTTAGTGAAAAACAGTGATTTGTTCAGCAGATGGTGCTCTTGCATATCTATATGGAAGCAAGCTTGGGAGAAGCATGTCCTGTGTACATTTTATATCTAGAGGTAAGCAGTATTTAAAAGGCAAATTGTATAATTAATTGATCAAACTATTGGAAGTAAATTATAATTAAACCTCTTTGTAAACCTCTTCATTTTACAAAGAAATAAAAACAAAAAGGTTGGTTTTCAACAGTTTGTTTAAACAAACATGAATTTTTCTTGAAATATACATTAGATATATTACATGCATATGAAATAAAATACTGTTTAGAATAAAAGTAAATCATAAGTTATGATTCAATTAATGATAACAGCTTATAGCATAATTGTGAAACCCTCTTAGATCTAGGTCTGATTAAATTCAAGGCAATATCCAAGTAAGGATACAGTATTTATAATCTTAGCTCAATTTTGCATCCAAATTTTTCAGTACCTTTTAAAATATGACTTCTACAGGGATTCATTTCTTTTGTGCTGCTGCTCCTGAAAATGCCAGATTGGTGTTAGCTTTAATGATGTAACTTTAATTATTGGCTGTGTATCATATTAGATCTGTACATAAGGAATTTAATTTCTAGTACTGGCAGTTCTTTACACTTCCTGTGCAAAAATGGAAAAATATTAACACTGGAAAACTAAAAATAAGGCCAACTAACCTTTGCAGGAAAACAGACTTTCCTTGCGTGAGACAGCTTTTTCCAAATATTTCCTAAGGTTTAGCTTGGAAGCAGCTCTGTTACAATGAATGAGAAATGCAGAAATGCATAATCATGAATGCAATTAAATACGGAAACTTTTCTATCAGTTATGACTACAGTAAATCCCTATTATAAACTTGTATTGTACATACCTTATGTGTTAAAATGTTTTTCTTTACAAACCTAGTTTCTTATAGTAGGAGGTGTTCAGTACAACTGACTCCTGGGATACAATTTAGGCATATAGTATAATCATCTCAGACATTATGTTTTTTACCCTATTATCAGCTGTTGTGGTATAATGTAATGTGTTTAAAGTATTGGGTGTATATTTTTCAGCTATAAAACATTCATTTTTTTAATTTGAAAGATGTGAGGGAAGGGTTATTCTAGTTCCTGCCTTTTCAATATGATTTATCTTTCTACAGATGGTATCATTACATCATGCTTGAGTGTACTTTGAAATTTTAATTTTAAACACCAATTTACACTAATACAATCTGGGAATTTGATAAATATAAGGAAAAGCTAAAGCCCAGAATTCTTAAAACTATCTTCACTTGGTTCATGATAGGAAGAGGTAGTCAGTTTAGATCTCTGCAAAGCAGGAATCATGCTAAACTGGCCTTGCCTTTTTTTATGCTTAGGAATTTTATTCTTATGAAGTTTTACTTCATAACTTTATAACATACTTCAGACTTTCAATCTATTTGATTCAGTATTGTCTGTAGAACTGCTTTCTATCAGAAGCTGTGTTCACATATGATACTTCATCCAGGTGTGATACTTGTCAAGGTAGCTTTACTGCAGTAACTTAATGGTAGCTTTATTTACATTATCTCCTACAAAGCCTACACTGGAAGGAATAATCACCTGCAGTGGCTCCAGATAGAAATGCTAAGTATAATAAAGTAATCAAGAAACCATTCTACAATTCAATATATACTGTATTTTAGGACACAGAGCAGATTTAATAAGACAGCAACTTTTCCCCCCTCACTGGCCTATATGTACCCTCAGGTCAATTCACAAGATTCAGATGTGGTACATCAAATGTGAGGAAAGAGATAAAAGGAATTATGTCCTTCACTTGCCAGAGATTGCCTGGGGCAAGTAACTGCTGTCAGTCTCTGACTTGTCCCATGTTGGCTGTATGCTAAAACAGATCCAGCTGATCAGTTCTCATACAATTAAAAGCAGCAGGAAGAAATTATGTCTGAACTAAAAATATTTGAAAAGAAATAATGGGGATTGTACTTCTAGAAAGAACCTTATAAGGCAATGGTCCCTAACCTTTTTGGCTTTGTGGACCGCAGCGGGGTGGAGAGGGGATGGTTACAAGCAGTGGGCTAGCACCGTTGGCACAAATGGGGTCAGAGACCCCCTGCTATAAGGATTTTTCTTTTTTTGTCCTGACAGTTGCCCAATAAAAATATATTTGATATTTATTTAATTTTCAATTATGTACTAGGCAGGGCAGTCAGTGTGGTAATATATATTCCTGCCCCATTTTTATTCTCATAACAATCCTTGTGCACTGGGAATTGTGATTGCCCCTAACTCTCACAGAAAGCTACATGGACAGGCATGAACGTGAGTCTGTCAAACTCAAGATTTCCATGTTGATGTTGGAAATGTAAAGGATGGTTTACCTCTGCAACCAATGATCTCTAGCCCAGTCAGCAACAGTACATATCTTCTGGAGTTGTTGCTTCAAAACAGGCTGTTAATCAAATATAACAGTGCTCTGGCATGAAAGCAAAACAAATGACATGAATGAGAATGAGAACACTAATGCTCAAGAGAACAGGAAAGCAAGACCAAAACAACGGATACGAAATAAAGCATGGTCATCATGTTCCTCTTTTTTTCCAAAGGATGGTTGCCCCTCTCCTGTCCTTTCCTCCTACATTGCAGAATATGAGTAATTTGATGTAAACTTCCTCTTACTCGAAATGTGTAAATGGAAGATAGTTTCTTGTGTTCTTCAGTTGTCTGTTCCTCAACAGCAGATTTGGCAAGATCAGTAGAAATGAAGTATTGCTCACAATTCCCAGAACATTTTTTCTTAACCTACTTCTTTCCCACAGCAACATTTTAAGATATTCTGGGCAAGATGTTCTCTGTGCCCTTATATTTCTGACTCCCTTTTATCCACCACTTTCTTCTTTCTCAGTTGTTTTTCCAGTTCCACATTTTCTTTTCATTTTCTTCCTTTCCATTACCAAACATAGCACTGCTCTCCCCATCCCATTTCTTGGCTAAATTCACACAACCATCTAGCCCTCCTTTCATCCAGAGCAGATACCAGTGAGGTGGGGCCAAAGCTGGTGAGGTACGGATGTATAGGAATTGGTCACAGGTCTGCAATGCTTCATGTATATCATGACACTATTTTATGTTTTGTTCATACCAATACTTATGACAAAACTGTTTCCGTCCATTCTAAAAGAAGATTGAAAGGACTTCAAGGCTACAAAATGTAAGATTAGAATTAGAAAAACCATTATATTTGCTTTGCTATGGTGGGCTGTGACTTATTTTTTATTTATGTCCTACTTTATTTTGCACAGTTCAAGATGGCAAACATAATGCTTCCTTCTCCAAATTTCCTAGAACAATAACCCTATGATGTAAGTTGGGCCTGGAAAGTATGAGCAGGTCAAAGATGTCCTAATTAGGATGAACTTTCTATTAGATCAGTTAATCAGCAATAGAATGTGAAACCATCTGCCACTATACCTTTATCTCCACCACAAAGTGATATATGCATGCCTT